TTGATTTAATAAAATCGTTTTCTCCTAGTTTATTTTACAGACAGTGCCACATAAGTGCATTTGCTATTTATTAGCTAATGCTCCATTGCTTCATTCCAAGAGATTACTTACTAATTTTTATAAATTAAGTTGTGAAAAATAATTATAAAACATGTGTAACTTTTTTACTACTATGAGACTCAAAGGGTTATCATGAATATGATGTGTATCATAACAAGCAAACTTTAATAATCTTTCTATCTCAAGAAAGCATCGCCTTTATTGAAGTGAACATAGTTGATTAACAAATAATTTACATTAATGTAAAATAATTCAGTGAGCTAGTCTGACAGCAATTAGACACAGTTCGACTCGATGATTTGTATAAACAGACGTGAAATTTTAGGCTGAGTGACAAACATTCATAGCAAAAACAGTCTTGAAACTTTACAATCTGCTCTTCTTATTATGAAGCTAACTGGACAATAGAAGCAATACTAAACTTATTAAAGTAACTTTATTCGATGTTCGACGGTATCATGATAAATTAAAAACGATATGTAAATGAGAATCTCTGACAGACAAATCCGATTTGATAATGATAATAAATGCATAGGATATTATCTGTTTTACTATATAGCAGATGGGAACTGTCATTAACTATATGCTAACGTGATCAATGTTACAATGCTTCTCTTTGGGATCTACAAGTATTCGATAGATGCAAGATTTAAAGCTTATAAAAATTCATTTCTCGTATTTTTCTTTCTACTCAAGATTGATCAGTATTCGACGCAGTCCCTAGAAGCAAAGATACAGCACAAAAAAAACAACTAAACTAGAGGTGTTGGAGTATAATTACATGTCACTGAATAAAATCTTGCATTTCTATTCTATTTGGATATTTGTTTGTCTTTTAACATAATAATGTAATCGGAATGTTGCAAATGCTGCCAAAATATGAAGTAAACCTGTTCCTACAAAAAGTCCAACACGAAACGCATTATGTTTAAATGCTTGATGTTTAAGTGGAAATATTTCAGCTGTTATATTCATAAAACCGTATAGAATAATTAAAATTATTGACGATAACAAAGCCAACATGATAAATCCAATACTCATTAACAATAAAATTTCTTGAAAATTCGCTTCATCATTCCAAACGGCAAACATAAAGCACAGAATAACAAAAAATAATAGAGAATCAATAATAATTCGAAGAATAAAATCTTGATACTTTGGAGTATATCGAAATACAAGACCCAACATCCATAACGAGTAAAATAATGTTAAATACAATCGACTAACTATCATTGACATCACCATGTTTTTACGAGTTTTTTTTTCTCTTTTTTATTGAAGTATTGTAATGATCCAAAGTATAACAGAAATAATAAAAAGAGAATAATTGAAGGAAAAAATGTTATATGAAACCTGTAAAGTTTTGACGTTAGGAAAACTATTACATATACACACACATATTTAGTGTCAATGTTGACAATGTGATAATTAAGTTCTTGATTTTTCTTCTACTGGTGTGGTTTATATATGTGTACACTAAGGTTAATCGAAGTGGATTGAATCTAGATATAGTGTAACAATCTTTTCACGCTATATTTTCAAGTAATATAAACTCTAAGTTAATAAGAAAATAGACTTTGAATAGTTAAACTAACAATCGTTGAAAAAAAAATATATATATATATTTGTTTCTTTCTATCGTTACCACTTTGTATAATTACTATGGTACAGTGTTGAACAGGCCCATAGAATTTTAGTTATTTTCTAAAAGTCTGTTATTGTATATTGACACCATAGTTTTAACATCGAAAAGTGTTTTCATCAATAGTATATGATTATAAAGGAATCTCGTAAACGAAATACTATTACGATACCATTTGATGTTAAAAGAAATATTTATTTGTTTTAAACATACTGTATACACGTTGTTTCAATTTATTCTGAATATATATTCAAAATAAATAAAGACGACATCTTAAGAGAGATATAATTAATTGTATCTCATTGAGAAAATACGATCCACAAACTGAAAACGGATGAAATCAACGTAATAGTTATCAACAATAAATTTGATTAACTGTCTGTTAATTATTTAATTTTAATTTTCTAGATATATCACAACACATAAATGAAAAAGCGAAATCATTTTCAAATCGCATTTGCTATCCTTATGTAGCGCTATAGATTGTCTTTACCATAGCCATGAGGAAGAGAAATATTTATGATCTGATAATTGAATTTATGCCAGTTAATAAAGATTGATTAAAAATCAGACAGAACCTCTATTTTGATCTCGATACTACAAAACTCAGTTTTATAGTTTTATATGATAAAAATAAATAGTAACCTCGAATTTAAGCAAAACGACTTTTAGCAAAAGAAAATGAGCAAAAAAATGTTGAACAAATTTATTTTGAGCAAAAATTTAGTGAAGCAACAGAAGTTTGAGTAAATGGAAGATGAGCAGATCTGTGTTGAACAACTAGAAAATGAGCAAAATTGCTTTGAGAAAATTTTTATTTTGAGCAAAAATATGAGCAAAAATGAAAAGTACATTGGAAGAACAAAAGAGAAAAAATAGAAAGGACAGTTTTTTCTATCGGTGATATGAAATGTGAAATTTCACAGCTTGAAACGATTCTTAATAACCGCCTTATAGCCCTGATACCTGCCAGTTATATAACCGATACATGTCTAGTTATAGGAAGAAAACAGAATTATGATAACTTGTTCTAATGTGCGAACGGTTAAACAAACAACCAGGGTATCCATTTTGCTAAAGGTTTAGCTTTTTTTATGTGTTGTTATTTCTCCACTTAGAGAGATCGAAAAATACAGATAAATTCTTGTTTTTTCTCGACTATTAGCTATATACATATGCGTGTGTGTTTATATGTTGTAGCCAAAATTTAAATTTAGCTGGCGATTCACAGCTAAAATTACAATTTTGGCTAAAAATTGGTTAGCCTAATTTAAAATTTGACTAGCATTCTGAAGACAAAATTACAATTTAAAGTTTAGATAGTCAAAAAATTTGAATTTTAGATGGAAATTGTCCAAGAAATTAGGCTAGTGGAAAATAGCATCCATTATGACATATGGAATTACAGATTAACTTGTGTTTACTTAGGATTAAACTAATCGAAATTAGAAATGCCTTTAGAAAAAATATATCATCAAAGACGCATGCCACAATAGCGACAGAATGAAACCAAAGGACCAAAGGAGACATCGGACATCAAGAGACCTTCAGTTCTATATAAACTACTTCTTCCATTATTTCATGTTACATTTAAACTTTTCTTACGTTCTCTATTATAGCTCTGTTATTTCAAGTTGTTAGCTCGTAGTCTATTAAATCACATTCAGATCTATTAGCTGCTCCAACAGACGACGGTGCTTGTTTGTATATAGGCACTAGTTCTGCGAGAAAAAACTCACACAAAATTCTGAAGATTCTCAATTAATAACACTCACGCATGCTGTCCCACGCCCCGCATTACAACGCGCTGACTCTCAAACTACCGGCGTTACATTAAAAAAATATTTATGGGACCATGGGATCGGGACCAAAAACGAGTTCTTTCCACGGAAGACCATCAGGAAATAATGGTTCGGTCGTAGTCGCTGTTGTATTAACAGACGGCAGTATAACTGCTTCAGCTTATGTTACTGAAATTAATGATTTGACTATTATTTCTGATGCAGGAGTATCTGGAAGTGTATTTACGGCTTCTGTTGGTGTGTCCACCATTTTTACATTTGATAATCAAGAAAAGTTATGAAGAAATTTATAAATATTTTAATAATTTAAACGAAAAATTTCGACGAAAAACTGTTATTAAAAAAGACGCATTTGATGATATTCTTAAAGTTTTATGGGCAGAGAAAGGTGTGGACGGGACGAATGGTTCATTTATGTTTTGGAGTCGAAAGAATTTCATTTCATATCATCTCCTTTAGTTTTCTGAACATAAAGCTTAATTTTTGATTAATTTTATTTTCAACTTTGGTGATAGGGCTTCATAAGAAGCCAAAATACATAAAAATACTGCAAAGAAAACTTGTTGGAGTGAGCCCAAGCACGTAGAATCATCACTCCAAGAAGATGTTGATAATACATTTGAAATTCCGATATCAAACCCTTTTGCGTGACAGTTAATCAAATAGTAAACCTGTTCTCTGTCAGGATGGGGACTAGATGCCAATTACTCTTCGGGAAGATTGGAAAACCGACCGAGTGAAACGGTAAACAGACAATTAGAACATCAAGAAAGTAAAATATGTCAGCTGAACCAGTTATATCAGTTGATTCGTTATCATCATACATTATGCTGTAGCTTTCTTCATTTCACGATCTTTGACAATCCAGTTAGAGCACTGCAATCGTTGAGTAGTAAACATTTTGATGCATTCTATCGGTCGTAATGTTTCAGATGATAAATGCTTCAAACTACACAGAAGTATAGACTGATAAGTAGTACATGGCTACTTAATGAATCACTCTACCTATTCATACTGAATGTATATGAAGTGTCACGTGACAATTAATTATTCCATAGAAAAGTTATTGAAAATATGCTCAACTTTTGAGACTCACTACTTAATAATTAAAACATATATCGAAAAAATAATCTACCTCTCTTGCACTTTCGAATGATCTTTTTCCAAATCTCTACGAATAATGATAGCTGAGAACCAGTGACTGGCTCGAAGCAGAAAGTAGGGTCTATAAGAAAGAAGAATTTTTTGTGGTAAAACAGAATAAGCCGCTCCGAGTTTCACTCGGTCGGCTTAACTAAGTTCTTTCTCTAAGCGTTCAATGTTGATAGGTGTCGTAGCCCACAAGAATCAGGTGAATCAACCACTGATTATGCACTTATTGATAAAGCATTAGAAGCAGCAAATTTTGTTTTAGGTAATGACATAAATGATGAATCAGAAAACGATGGTTTTTTTCCAGTATGTGGTTCATCTGCTCCTTCAACATCAGTTCCTAAGTTGGATCAATCAGATTATAATAGCAAGTCACCAGTTTTGCATTTCGTCATCAAAATGGTAGCAACAAACCACAAATAATATTTTAACAACTGCCGAAAAGAAACGAAAATTGTATGACAAACATTTAACACAGAATAGTATAACATAAGAGATTCTGTAGGTATTTAAACGAGTAAAGTTGATCGAACAGATACTGATGTTAAACTTTTGCCATGTTTAATTCTTTCAAAAGATAAAAAAGATGATGATTTCATTCTTAGAATAGCATATAAATTTGATGAAGTCGTACACGGTTGAAACTTTAATCGATTTTCGGTCAGTATGTCCATCAGATTTAAAACTAAATGAAGTAATTTCCTTAGTGACATAACATTAATCGAAGCTGTAAAATTATTGGTACGTGGTGTTGTATCCAGTACAATATGCGATTGTAAAACTAAATGTGAGATGAAGCATTATCCATGTAGAAAAGCAAGAGTAGCATGTTCAACTGAACATGGCTGAAAATGCCATGTTAAACAGCGTGAATATTTGAATTCAACTTAATTGAAATTTCATTTGTTTGCTCTCTTACTTTTAGTAAACGTCAAAAACTCAGTAGAATTATGCCAAAAATATTATGAAAGTTAAAATTTTCAAAAATATGCATGTCTTTTCTTTTCCACTGTACAAAGTACAAAGAGTTCTTTTTTTGCATTCATATTACTTCAGTAGATTATAAATTTAGAAAAATTCAAACAAATTATAAAATAACAAAAATCCAAAAAAATAAATTTAAGAACCACTTCGAATATGGGCACCCTTTCGCAGTGAAGTGGATAAGTACCGTTGAACAATCACGGGAAACTAAGCGTTAAAAAAAACTTGTTGTTGCTATCTCTAATTTACGCTTGTATAACTCCAACAAAATATGATTCTAAATTTAGTTTTGATTTTGCCTTGAGAATGCTAATCAAATTCTAAATTTGATTGAACAATCCTCAATCAAAATTAAAATTAATAATCTAATTTTAATTTTGTCTGAGTATTGTCAAATTTTGCTGAATATGAATTTTAGCTACATCATAATATATCTATATATATATCTGGTTAAAAAAAAGACTTCTTGACTAGTTAAGTTTTATGCACAAAAACCAGATTAATTTATAAGAATAAGTATAATTTCATAAATGAGATTTTGTTCATCTTGTTTTGTATGTAGTATAAGTCTCATTTGATTTAAAATTGAATATTTCACCACATCATCATCAACTATTATTTTTAATTCTTGTTGTTGTTGTTCAATATAAAATTGACAATAAACAGAAGAAATTTTATTTAATTGAAATTGTTCAATTATTTTTTGTAACAATTCTTTACGAGTTAAACTATGTAAATAAATGCAATGATAATAATCGTCATTTAACTGTTTGATATAGAGTGTTTTTAATGGTGGAACGGGTGTTTGTTTCAATTGATTGTATAATCTTATACCGATACAATCACCACAAATTCTTAAAACATCATCGACATTTAATCTTAATATATCTAAACCCGTATAATATCGAAATAAAGACATAATTGTATGAAAATTATATAATTCTAACCATTTTTGAACATCATCACTTGTTGAATGAGTTGTAATTGTTTGTTGAATATTTTGTGAAATTTGAGTAGGTAGTGAAGAATATAATTGTTTCATATCTGGTAATGAAGATGATAATATTAAAGATGATGGTGATGGTACAGATGGACTACAATCATAAGCAGTAGTAAGATTAGATAATGTTAGTGTTCGATCGATGGATGAATCCGATGGATATCGTTTGAGAGTACTATTTGTTAAATCATCATCACCACCACTAACCGTTCCTTCATTCTCATTTTGAACTGTACAGTTTTGTGTAATTAATGAATTATCTTGTTGAACGGTTTGTGAACAAATACCTAAATCATCGGGTGGATAAGAGAATGATAATAAATCAAGAGTATAGAGAGTTGTTATTGGACATTGTTGTAAAATTGTATATTCTAAAATATTTTGATAACGACGGCGTTGTTCAATATTTAATTTTTCAATTTTAATTTTATCTGATTTATTTTTACGTTGAGCACCTTTTAAACGAAATAATTGTATTTTACAACAACATGAATTTACATGTTTTGGACGTTCACTGATACTATTATCATCTACATTTCGTTCTTCAATAATTTCATATGTATCAATTTGTATTCGTAATGGTATACCTTTTTCTCCCCCATGTCGTTTGGGGGCAAAATCAGTTGATGTACATTTAAAACGAATAAATAATGATGTTTGCTGTAAATTATCCCACACAATTTCTACAGCATTTTTAATCGAACGAGATTTTATCACACTTAATACGCCATAGGTCAAATTCATATCAATATCAAATAAACTAGTCGAATTATATTCGCATAACCATTTATTAACATGGTCATATTCATTTAATTGAAAATTTTTATCCCAAAAACAGAGACGTAAAATACTTCGATATGTTGTTGGTTGAATATTCGTGACATTTGAAGATGCCACTAGAAACAATTAGAAAAACAATTTTCATTTCATTGAAAAATATTTTTAATAAAAAAATTTTTCTAATAGTGAATTATTTTTTCACGAATTTTAAAGATCACTCGAAGAGTTCTTACATTTCGATCTTTGATTGTTATTGACATGAAATTTAATTTCATATGGTTGTCCTTGATTTAAATATGTTATTGTTTCTTCAGTGATTCGAGCTGAAGCTGATGTACCCGCATTTAAAATAAACTGAAAATGTTGTGTTGGTGATGTAGATGAATGATGACTATTTCGATTATAGGTTGGTGAACTTGAACTATGACTCGAACTTGAATTTTGATTATGTGTATGATTTGGCATTAACGGTGTTTGTACATCTTCTGTTAAATAACTGACAAGATCATTGGCAATGTATAATGTTGGTTCACCTAAATCTAGATTCATATCGGTGAATGTTGTTGCTGTTGTTGTACTCGATGTTCCATCCGTCGAGTTATCATCATGTTGTTCTTGATATAATGTATACATTGGTTTTATTAGATCATTTAAAAATAATTCTGAATATTTTTGACAATCACTACCGTCAAATAAACGTTCAATGCGATGTAATAATTGATTTAAAGTTGAATCATTAAACATACCGAGTACACATATTGTTTCGCGTCTATATTTACTTGTAAAGTTAATAAAAAAGGAGAAAACAGTTTGAGAACTAATGACGCAATTAATCAACGAACGTGTTTTTGTATGTGTTGTAAATTTATATATAAAATATATATATATATATGGAGTTACATTCTTTTTTCTGTTTTTTCTTTCTCTCACACAGAACAAGGTCATAGCCAAACAGCAGAGCATGAGAAAAATTATTATTAACATCATATTTTTTTTTTGTGGCACGTTTTTTTCTCTTTGTCACTTTCACACACGTTTATTACTAGGTTTACTGATACAGATTTTCTTTAGTTTCTTATTATTTCTCGCATAAGATGTCGTGAACCTATTCTCTCTTTTTCAAATACAGATTTTTGTTTAGTTTATGTGGGTTATTCGAAAATGAAATAATAATCATCCGGGCATAACGACCGTACTTTTTACCGCAGTTGTATGTGGACATCAGTTGAAATCGTGGTCATATGCGTACATAAAACAAACTAATAAATTTAACTAATATAGATAAGACGCACTTTTACGAATGACACATTGTATTAGACGTACTACACAGTTGAACTAAGAGACCTTCTATGCCAATTTTGAACGTTTTTGGATGAAAAAAGAATTTGTGGAGGTCTTTTAGTCAAACAAGCTCGTCGAACTGAGTATAGCAACGCCTGACGAACACCCAAAACAGGTTTTATAGTTTCGCTTTTTAAGCATATATTTTCAATGAACGATGAATGAAAATCATATGCCATTGATCGTACTTTTCGTATATGATTTTTCCAAAGAAGAGGAACACGATTCTTTTATGATTCTAATGAGTATTATTAGATTCAGTAATCGTTGTAGAGTATTTTAGCATAGTTTATAAACTCTCATTCTGTTTAGTACATGCTTTATTTTTCTTAGATCTAAAACAGCCTATAAATGGGAAGGTCAATGGTAATTAAAAATTCAACAAAGAATTTTTAAGGGTACCTCCACCCCCTCTTTTTTGTAAAAATTTCGGATTTTGAGCTGAGCATAGCCTAATGTAGAGGAAAGTGTGGACCACTCCCAGTACTCCACAACCTTTTCTCAAAACGTTATGGATTTTTGAAGTTTTTCCTTCAAAACCAAAAAAACCTCAATTTTTTAGTTTTATAAACTGTTCTCTCATTTTCTGTTCTCAGTCTGATAGAAGAAAGTGTTTTCTTCACAACGAGACGTTTTACAGAATTTTCCAATGAGTTTTCGCGGAGATATAAACATCACGGTTCTGAAAAAAGTGACCTATGTACAAAATGCGTTTTTTCTCGAAAACTATTTTATTGCTGTCAGGCTTCATTGTGCCACATTACGACCTCCCTCAAATTTCACCCGGTCGAGTCAAAATTTTACCCGAGGTACTCAGGACACTAATGCACAAGTCATTTTTTGGAATTTTATTTTAGACTTTTCTTTACTGACGTATAGGGTTTCTGAAATTGAAAAACTTGGTTTTTGAGACATTTTTCAGTATTTTTGAACTTTCTCAGTATTTTGAAAATTTCTTGAGTACCTCTGATAAAATTTTGAACTCTATCGGATGATATTTAAGGGGGGGAGTCGTAATGTGGCACAGTGAAAAATCGAGTTTTCGGAAAAACTGGTGAACAGCAATAGTTGAAAACTTGAAACAAAAACGAAAAAGTGCTTCATTGAGTTTCCAATCAGCTCTGAAAATACGAAACTCTACCGACTTTTAGTTTTTATTTCACAGCGTTTCTACGGAAAGCCCAAAAAGAGGGGAGGGGTATCCTTAAATATTTCCAAAATAGTACTTTTGTAGAGAAGTTCACGGACTTTCTTATTTATCATATATCTAAATGTCTTTACTATGTATTGCTTTTTGTTCTTCAAAAGAAAATAATATATTCAGAAGCAAATAGTCAACACAGGATAAGTACACAGCAATTTTAGTGAGAAGGTGAGTCGACAGAGGTAACTTTGTTTACTCACAAAGTTAACCCGAACCGTTCAAAGCTTTTTTGGTTGTTTTAACACCATTACCGTGCCGTTTATAAAAAGCCCAGGTGAAACTCATCCTACAAGATCATACAAGATCTGCCGTTTTCTTATGAAATCTTGTAACAAAATCTTACTGCATGATCTCTCAAGACCTTGTCTTAGGATGTTGTAAGATCCTGCGGGATTTTGTAACTTCTTGTCGTAAGATTTTACACGATCAGCTCATAAGACGTGACAAGATCTTACAAGATCTTGCCATTGAGAAATGTGGCTTGTATTTATTTCTTATCGCGAGATCATACGATTTCTTGTTATAAGATCTTATATGATCTTGCAAGAATCGATGACTCATTCTTACCACATAAATTTAGCTATGATATTCAGTATATATTTATAGAACACAATCAGGCACATAATCTTATAAGATCTGATGAATTCTTACGTGATCTTATGAGATCTTGTCACTTCTTGCAAGGTCATATGATATCTTATACGATCGTATGAGATCTTACAGCTTCATATGTTATGGTCTTATAAGATCTTGTACGGTCATTTTTCTTATAAAATCTTATAAGATTCTTGTAGTAAGATATCATACAAAATCTTACAAGATCTTATAAGAAGTCAAAATCTTACAAGATCCCTTGAAATCTTATGGTTTCTTTGGAATAAGATCTTGTAAGATCTTATAAGACCATAGAAATCTTGATATACGATTGCTCGCCCTGAGAGAGAAATTGCTTCACCCAGGTCGAAGAATCGTACTAGGATCGTATCTGAATCAGACAAAATCGTACAAATCGTATGAAAATCATATATGAATCGTGGTATCTGATTTGTCCTCTGGATCGTATAATACGATCGTACAAGATCATATACGATCATACAACTTCGTATGAAATCGTACAGTATGAGCCAGACGACAAATCAAGTACCACGATTCGTATGTAGATCGTATATGATTTCGTAGGATTCGTATACGATCTTGTACGATCGGATAGTACGATTCAATCACCTGGGCTAGTGACGTTTTTTTCTCAAGCGCATACCTGAAGAAACTCACGCCTAATCGATCTCTAGCTTTGTAGAAGGTTTTAGCTCGTTACACTTGATTCCACCATATTTTACCCGGACTTTTCTTCGAGAACATGGTGAAATCAATTTTTATTGTTTTCGTCAACTCTAAAGGGTGTTCCACAAGTTCTGAAGCGATTTCTAGAAAGATGAATTTACAAATCGTTCCAGAAAAAAAAATTCTTACTATACCAAACGATAGACAATTTAATTCTCTACAATATTGTATATTCATTTTTAAGATTCATCTTTGATGTTTGACACATTAAGTTTAATAGGAAAAGTTCCAAATTTTTTAACTGCACCACGCACTTTTAAAGTGCAAACTGCTCTCTTTTTTTTAATTGCTTATAATGAATACAAAAAGATTTGTTTTATTACTATCAAATGGTGAAGAATTTCAGGCTTTACAAAAGCGTTTACTTGAAGGAAATTTATTTCAACTGCTAGTGGCATTAATACATAAACTTCCAAGTCCATCGAAGTTTTTAGCACTAAAAAAAGGTTTTGACTATTTCAGTGTAAAATCCAAAGTTCAAATCATTAGTTTATAGACCAAAAAATACAGAATATCGCGCTCTTTTGATATAGTAAGGAATTTTTTTTTCTGGAACGATTTATAAATTCATCGTTCTAGAAATCGTTTCAGAACTTGTGGGACACCCTTTATCTAAGAAGGAAAAGTCAATATTAATACAGAATCAGAGAAAGTACACAGCTATTTCGGCCCGCTGTTCTACTACTGTACATGAGCAACTCCTAGTCCGTACTCATAATGTTGAACTATCTGATTTTCGACAAGCTGTGGAGTATACTTTCCAGAAACATTTTTTGCTCAGGTAAACTAAGCACCAGTTCACTGTATTTCACAATTCTGATTCGATCATATGGTTGAAAATGATCTTAAAGTAAAAGTGAGAAAGACTGATACCTTTTAATTCATTCAATTGTGACTTTTACCAGCAAGGTTACGTTTGCCGTTATGTGAAGCATTGAGCGTTCACGCTTGAACTTTCAGAGAGTGTATAAAGGGTGGCCCAGAAGTCCTGATTCTATTTGAATGGTTAGTTTTTCTTTAGTAAAATACATGATTAAAAATGTGTCTCTAGTGTGAACAGATGCAGCAGAATACGCTCTACAAAATGGCGCTTGATTGACCATTCTACCTCATATAGTGAGAAAGTTACAAGCTTAGAAACATACAGAAAATAAAAATTAACCGTGAACTCGATTTCTATGATGGTTCTTCCTATAAAAATCTCGTAGCTGCATCAAAACAGAAGGTTTACCAATCAGGTTTGTTTTGTTTTGATCAGAAATTATTGCACGCCTCTAACTAGCTGTAACATCAAAACATCGATCACCTTTTCTTTTTTTGCTGAGTACATTGCCGAAAACCAGAGTGTCAGTTCTCGACGTATTCTTGAAACTTAAATCTCAAGCACACCATCTTCTATAAAGCAGATATTTTAGAGACCACAAGAAAGAGTAAATTTAAAAGTACCGAATACCAATGAGTACTCACTTTCATACCCT